CCCAAGGTCTCTCCAAGGGCAAAGGGGAAGTCTAGTTCTTATAACTCTGTATCAACAAATCTACAGAGGCATATTTATTCTGGACATCTTTTCAAAATAAATATTCCCTTAAGTATATTTCTTTGCTAGTTGAGATGTGAAGTTCTCCCACCCCATTTGACCTAAACTTTATAAGGCAATTTCCAAATATCATGGTTTTCAATAGTCCATGGAAAATAAAATTACAAGGCATCTATTACAGGGATATATTACACATATATTAATTGATTAGTCACAATTTTCCCATTTCTTTGGACAATCGACTGTTAATATTGTGATATAAGGCAAGTGTCAGGAAGTTAATATCCCAGAGCCATTTCACAGATGGGAGCAGTGGTTAATGTAGTAGCACTGATTCTAATCCCGTTCATGGTTTTCTCACAGACAAATATGAAGATCTTTGCAACAAACCTAGCAGAACAGCAACTTTCTTAAGATAATTAACTAAAAAGTTCTTCATCTTTAATGCCCCAAATCTAGAAACTCACTTTTTTTTAATTAACTCTTGTTCACTCTCCAAAACCCAAAATTATCCTCCATCACACTATTATCAAAGACCCATGGGACACAACTGTACTTCTAAGCATATTAAACAAACCCAGTTAAAACTCTTATGTACAGAGTGATTGGCTAAATTTTAGAACAGCATCTCCCTGAGTGAAAACATGTTCTGCTGGCCCTTCAGATGCCCCACGATGGAAAGGTTTACTCACTCCCCAAGAGAGGACCACAGAAAACAATATCCCCTGGCTTATTTGATTGTGGACATTTGTGTTGTGTGTAGGTGGAAGAGAACACAGTGACATCACACACATTGGGAAACAGTGCTCTAGGGGAAATGCTACACAACCCAGCATATATTTCTATGGGGGACAGAAAAGAAGGGTTTAAAATTCCAACATTATAAAATTTAATGCCATAGCAGAAAAATAGCAATAATATTTGCAAATTGAAAAGGCATGTCTAAATAAATTATGAGCTATTTCCTGATGAACATGCTTTTTTAAAAAAATAAACATATATTTCATTCATTTTTTACAGAGATGTAAGGAAAGGGATATAGAGTTAGAAACATCAATGAGAGAAATAATTTAAATATGTAATTTTAAAAACAGAATTTATATGACTGAGTAGTGGGAAATAAACATTTATTTTTATTCTCCCTAAAGTCCAAAATATTCTTTTTGGCTTTGTTGGACATCATAAAATTACTAATATTATATTAGAATCTATAAAATATAATTTAAAAAATATAAAGATAATTATGTACAAAATAACACTTTAAAATAACTGACAAACTATTTTATTTGAAATGAATGGAATTTAAGGTAAAAAGATGGGCAACATTTAAGTTAATGTTAAGGAGCAATCTGATTATGTGAAACTCATTAAAATATTTTTATCTTTCAATTATTATAATATTTTCTTTTTCTTAGATGATTACAGGGGAAACACAAAGACTGGCAAGAACACAAACCCCAGCAATCACTTTTTAGGGAAGTGCTCTTTTAGTAATGATGAGGACATTTCTTTCAGTTGCTTTAAAATATTAATATCTGCATTATTATTTTGAGGAGCTGAGGACAACTGATAGCAAAGAGACTAATATTTAAATGCAACAATTTTTGCAGATTTTTTTCATTTAGCCTTCACCAGAGCTCTGTTAAAGTGTATAATTGATTCATGTTAAAATATAAAGAGGGGGCCCAGACTTCCGAGATTACTCTGATGTAATTATTAATAGAACTCTGTCAAAAGTTCCTGGCTCAGGTGATAAATTATATAGTGCCCATAGGAATCAGGAAACTGAGATGCAGAAAGTTTAAATAATTGACTAATACCATACTCACCCTTGGTTGATTCCATATTAAAACCTAGTTATGCATGAAGACAAGTCATTCTTGTCCCACTGCTCAGCACTGCATCAGAGCCTGCAAGATCAGCAGGTGTTTCCAGGAGAGTGATTCGAAGATGAAGAAATATAGCCAGTCCAAATAGGAATGTCAAATATCCTGAAATGCTATATTAGAAAATCAGCCTTCTGGATTTTCCTGCTCCCAAGGATTTAGTCTTAAGAGGCCAATGCTCCTAGGAGAAGAAACTCTTCAGCCAATGAACTCTTAATAAATAATGAATCATTAGTGAGTAGGAAGGAGCAGGTTAAGAGACACACTGAGAAAGAGTAGAGGCTGGAGAAGGGAAAATAATGGAGTGAGATCTGCCAACATGGACAGAAGCCCATCCACTGGGAAGATGATTCTATTTCACAATTTAAACCTTGATGTTATAGTCTAAGGAAAAAGCTTCCTCATCAGGTTTAAGAATAGTACTTGATCCGGCAGCTACTGGCTGCCAGGGTGGGCAAAAAGGAACAGAAGGGTGGATCGGGGACAAGAGAGAACAGAAGAGCACAAGCTAAGGCATTCATGGTACCAAGAGGGAAAATGTCTTTGTGGAGGCTTTGTGATTCCTTTCCCAATTCATAGTGCATCAGCTCTGGTTTGGGATTTAATTAGCTATGATCCTCTTAATATATAAAGCAGGAAAGGGGAGAAATAACAGAAATTAGAAAGAAAGTGCTTACAAATATAACTAAGGGAGTTATATTTGTAAGCACTTATATCAAGGGTGTAAAAAAGGAGAGAAAATTTTTGCTTTTCAGGAGTGGTGGGAACAAACCCCCTGAAGAGCAGAGTAAGTGTGATTCTTTGCGGAGCCACCTAGGAGCCCAGGAGACATGGTGCCAAGGTGTAGAGATAGACTGTACGTGTGACATGGAGAGGAGTTTGGCATTATACTAATTTCTAAATCTCTCTCTTGCACAATAGGAAGCAGAATATGATAAATGCAATGATTTGAGCAAGCCAAGGCATCAAAGCATGGAGGCAATTATTTACATCAGTGGTGTCTTTTAAGGGAAGGTAAAGACTGTAGTTCACTTTAAGACACGAGCTTGGACATTATTGGACCTGCTCAGGCAGTCTTTCCAGATGTCTGTTATACACCTATTCCTCCTAGAACCAATTGTCAATTATGTGGTCTACAAATGCAATCTGTTCTCCCTGCTGGAGGAAATAAAGGCGAAATAACTTCAAAAAACACTGCCAGCAACTCTCTGCCCTTTGATTTTAGTAGAGAAGACTGTTTCTAACATGGTAGGGATTATCCAGAAAATAAATCTAAAAAGAAAAAAATCTCTGGGAAACAGCCAGCATAGAAGGTTCTACCAAGTAAACCAAAGTGGCAAGAGTGTGAAAAAGAAAGAAAATTATCCAAGATCTGCATCCCTTTAGAAGCTCTAAGATTTCATCATTTAAGAAGATCTGACTATATAAACATAAAACAAACTTGCCTTAAACCTTCTATTTCTTGGTAGGTTCTTTCTTTGGGCAAATTTATGTGCGGCATTGATATTGCTTCATCTGGCTTAATTGGGCATGAAGAGTGTCAGAATTGAGTAGAAGATATAGATTTGTGTCCCTGAACAAACTAGCCCCTAGCTATGACACTTTAGAATCTCAAATTCAGATTCCCAGTTGATGTCTTTTTGGGTTTCTATATTTATCATTTTAATCTGTAAAATGGAGCCAATGAAAATTGTTTTTAATAAGGAGATATTTAGTAACTAGGAAGACAAATTTACTCAAATTAGCTCAGGCAAGAGGAGGTGACTATTATTGATAGAATTAGAAAGGTAAATTTCATAGACTCAAGAAATACAGCCAGAGTTATAGCATGATCACAGTAAGGACTAAAAGAGAATAGGAATAACCAGGACTTTATCTACCTTCTATGTGGATCCATTTTACATCTCTTTTCAACTTATCTCCACATGGCCCTTCCTGGTTTCCCCAATAACCCTCTCAGTCCCCAAATCTGTGTCCATAATACAGATCACAAGACTTAGGTATTGTTCTAAGATAAACAAACAAGCAAATTTAAAGAAGTAGGCTTCAAAAGACATGAGAGAATCACAAGTCGATTTTCCATTTAAATATGATATTTCTCCCCAGTTTGTCATATACTAGTCCCTGATACCAAAGCCTTAGGAGATGGATTTGTATTGTGGGGACCCCTAAAATTAAATTTTATGCATGTATCAATATGTCCCCTGATTGTATATTTGCATTTATACTCTGCCTCTCTATGTATTCATGAGCTCTCTCTCTCTCCAAAATGTATTTGAAGAATATAATTTAAATAAATGATAATGATAAAAAGTTGAAGCCAATGTGTATCAACATAAGACTCAACTGAATTTGTTCTTTTCTGTATTTGTATAATTAGCAAGTTACATCCTTTTACCCTTTTGTGTTGGTATATGATCTTGCTTTTGGATGCTTGTATGGTTTATGAATACATATAGAATCAGAGTGTAAATGCAAATATACAGAGGACAAATTATTGCCAATAGTGAAGTAAGAAAATATATCCCCAGCATTGCCGCTTCCCTTACATCATTTTTTTCTCCCTTTGGAATTCCCATCTGCCTTTATTTGTCTTTAAGATAAGTAATGTCATGCTGTGCTAATTATATGTATCCTCAATAAATGTGGCTTATTTGTCATTTATTCCTTAGCATGAACTTCAGCCAACATGGCTCCACTCCTAAGGGTATTTGCATATGAATGTTATAATGACATGAAAATTTTCTTGTTTATTAACATAACCATATCTGAATTTCTTTTTTATCTTCTTAAGGAGGAAATAACCTCCCTCTGTTGTTTTCTACCTTGACCCACTTTGAGGTTATCATCAAGTATCTTGTGTGACATGTAGAACCAAAGTGACATGAGGGATGGAGAGAAAGCCAGCTGTGTGACAGTCACAATAAAGTAGATTTCATGGGCTGGTTTTGAGGACAGAGTTATATGCAGCTATGTACAGTATGCCACTATATCTGTAAATATAGAATTTCTTATTTAACACACTTGCTGACATAAGAGAAAGAAGTTGCTTACCCCCTCGCTTGTTGATCTTGGCATAGCCAGGAGAATAGCTTGCAGACATGGAGGACGAGCTGCTGAAAGCTACATGGGAGAGCCCAGACAGAAGGGGTTCATCACATTTTTCTAAGAAAAGAAGAGAGAATGGGGAAACGTTAATAAAAGTCTTTATATAACAATTGGTGTGTATTTGCTAAAATAATTACTGACTACAGAACAAATTTTTAAAAATCTATGACGCAACTATTTAGCAAATTGTTAGAATTTAGGCAACTCAATTATGACATTCTGAGAAATCGCAGGAACAGTTTAAACAACCGTTTGGTTTTTAAGAGTTATAACTATGACCCAGTGCTTTTTGCCTAAGGGTCTCAATTCAGACCTGCTCTCTCAGCACCATGTACAAAGTTGAGATTGTTTATTGAATAGGTTTCAGAATTTGGCATCTCCTGACAACCTTCATTATAGGAGTAGAGGATTCCAAACACTGAGATTGGAGGAGGGAAGATTAGGAAGAATGCAATCCGAAATAAGAGACTAAGAAAAAGGTGTCAGGAAAGGAGAACACAATAATCTCCAACTTGAAATGCATCTAAAATGCATCAGTTCCCATATTTGAAGAGTCAACTGTGTTGTTACCAGGTGATCCTTCAATTCTATTCCTCACTTAGCTACTATAGACCCATTCATTTTTTGTCCTCCTTCCTCACTACCAGCTTGTTCTCTGAATCATTTAATGGATCTTTCTCATTTTCTTTGTCTAAACTAGAGGCCCGGTGCATGAAAATGAATGCACTGGAGAGGGGGCTCCCTTAGCCCGGCCTGCCCACTTTACAGTCCAGGAGCCCTCAGGGGCAGGAGGTGGCCCAGCAATTAGGGGAAGACGATGTCCCATCACACCTCTGACACTGCCATTGCTGGCAGTGCAAGCCTCGGGTGGCCCTGATAACCTGAGCCTCTGGTGGCCCTAGGAGGGGACTGGGGGACTCTGGAGGCAGATGCATGGAGCACCCAGATCTGCCTGAGGGCGGGCCTGACTTTGCCACCTGCCTGCCGCCCGGGTGGGGCTGAGGGTACTGGGCACTGTCATCCTGTGGCTGTAGGTGTAGCCATCTTTAAGAGCAGGGCAGTCAATTAGCATATTCCCTCGTTATTGGCTGTGGCATGAGGGTCAATTACCATATTTCCTCTTTATTAGATAGTATGGTCAAGTGCTCAGTGGCTCAACCCTTGGATTTCTCCCCTGTCTACACTCCTTGTCTGAGAGAGTGCATCAAGGCCTGTGTCTAATCATACTGGAACAACCCAAATGCTGCCACCTTGTGCCATATTGCCATCAGTCACCAGAAAGACTGCATAGTCTCCCTACTTCCCCCCTTGTTCCCCTGCCATGCTTCTGAACATAATGACTAAAGGGACACTATTAAAAATATAAGGGGTTCTGTGGCTCCTACTCTCACTCCCTCAGAATAAAGCCAGAAACCCTCCAATGGCCACAGTGGCCACCTCCTTAGTTACCTCCCATTCCCACATCCTTGTCCATGACTGTGTAGCCACCCTGGTCCCCTTCCCCTTCCTTCAACAACAGGCCTGCTCCTGCTGTGAGCCTTCACAATTACCATTCCAGTTGCCAGGAGGCTCCACCTACTCCTCCCAGGCTCTGCTCAGTCATCTTTCATTGCTATAGACAAGCTCATTAAGTCCACCTGGTTAAAATAGTATGCTACTACCATCACTCTCTGCACCACATCTGCCTCATTCTCCTATAGAGCATTGAGAGTCGCCTGACATATTATGTTTCTTCTCATTTAATCGTTTAGTTTACTGGGAACACATGGGGAAAAGTTTTTATAATTTGCGTACCACTTACTCTCCAAGGTTCTGAACACTGCTTGACACACACTCTAAAAACATTTCCAGAATGACCTTTGAGTCCTAAAGCACACTGCTTAATTACAATGTAGTACAACTCCTGATGATTGTAAATATATGGTTTATTGATTTCAGAGATGAAGGGAAAGGGAAAGAGAGATAGAAACATCAATGATGAGAGAGAAACATTGATCGGCTGCTTCCTGCACACCCCCTACCAGGGGTTGAGCCTACATCCCTGGTGTGTGCCCTGACCAAGAATCAACTCATGACCTCCTGATACATAGGTCCACACTCAACCATTGAGCAACAGTTGGCTGGGCACACAACACCTGATTTATAGAAAGGTGCTCTTAAGTCTCCAACAAATCTTAGTACGCACTCAGTTTTCCATTCAATGGCACAGAGGTCACACTGGATATTCTACGATCATTTCTACCTCACATGTTTATAAACAAGAAAAAAAAAAAAACATTAGCAATAGAAGGAATGAACTAGTTTTCTTGAAAAGGCACTCAGGTAGTTTTACATCCCAAATGAAACTAGGAATACTAATTGTTATTTATTATCCCATCCCTCAAGTGTGTACAAATTTGAAGTTAAAATGAACAAATCCATCACTTTAAACACATTGTTAGATTTCTTATTTTTCTTAGTTATACTGCAGGTGCCTTTGGAAAATATGGCATGTGTGTATGAATATATTCCCCAGAAAGTTAAATGTAAAAGGATAAGAACATGAACAAAAATTTTATTTTTAAAGTATCAGTTCACAAAATGGGTGTCTAAAATGGACTTCATATTAAATGTAAAAACAACAACAACAACAACAAACAACAACAACAACAAAAAACTGTGCTATTCAGTTTAGCTACCAGTACCCCAAATAAATAAAATCGTGATTTCCTCTCTCCTGACTCTCTGGAGCCTAACTCTTCATAATATTTTGCCATAGTCTGCATTTAACTGGAATAATTATTATTTCTCAACCTCCCATTATATGAAGAATGTGCTAATGTTCATTCGTTTTCCTTTCGTTCATTCAAATATGCACCAAGCACCTATGCTGAGCTAGGCAGGGGAAATGTAGCAATAGGAGAAATTGACAATATTCTGCATTTTCATGGAAAGAAACAGACTAGAAAGTAAAAGGTAAATTTATTATGAGATAGTGATAAATACTATAGAGACATTAATATGAAGTAGGGGCAGGCAGTTTGGAAAGGTGTGGAGGTTGAGAGATTTTTTTAATTTTATTTATTTATTTTTTTGATGCGTAGTCAAGGAAAGCCTCTGCAATCAGTTGACGTCCAAGAAGTAATCAGAAGGAAATGAGGAGGTGAGCCCTGTCAGAAATCCACAGCAGAATGCTGGGAACAATTTCCTTAATCCAAACCTGCTCCATAGGATAATACCGATGAATTATGCATTTTCCAAGAGTTAACCTTCAGTGCGTATATAGAATGACATCTAAAGTAGTTTAAATGAGGTTGATGAATAATTGTTTAAATAATCCATTAACTAATTTAAATTTACAATGTAAATAGAGCACTCATAAAACCTGAAAATAGTTTATCCACACTACATTTTTAAAGGTTTGACTTCTGTAACAAATCATTTTTATACCAAATTTAAAATTTGTCACTATTTTTTTAAAATATATTTTATTGATTTTTTTGTATAGAGAGTAAGAGAGAGGGATAGAGAGTTAGCAAGAATCATCGATCAGCTGCCTCTTGCACACATCCTACTGGGGATGTGCCAGCAACCAAGGTACATGCCCTTGACCGGAATCAAACCTGGGACCTTTCAGTCCACAGGCTGACACTCTATCCACTGAGCCAAACTGGTTTTGGCAATTTGCCACTATTTTTTAAAAATCATACAATTAAAAATTTTAAGAAATTGGAAACAGAAAATATAAGAGTATATAAGAGATTACTTGTGAGTGTTTTTGTTTGTTTGGTTGGTTTTTGTAAAAGATGGCTATAAATTTATTAGAATTTAAGCACTTTTAAACTCTAGCAATCTCACATTCTTCTAAATTGAGAATTAATTTATAACCTTATAATTATGAAAAGTGGATCCTAATATAAGGAGACAGGGGAAGATTTGACTTTGGTGGTGATCACAGTGTGTGATATACAAATCTTGTTCATGTTGACTAATGTCACCCCCATCAATTTAATTAAAAGAAAGAAAATTGCTACATGTACTGTATGCTTTCTTGATTGACTTTTAATTATAAATAGTTGTTAAGATTTTACTCTATACTTTGTACTGTTCTAAACACTTTGAAAATTTTATATACATATATATATATATATATATTTTTTTTTTTTTTCATGGTCCATTTCCCCACAACAGGAAATGACCCACATGAAGTGGTTAAACATGAAAGAACAAGTGATAATACTAAACAGTTTGTAATTCAGTTCTAAAGAAAATATCATCAAATACTGAAAGTTACAAATAAATGAAAATGCAGGGTTGTTATTCAGGTGAGTTGTTTATCAGTTCTGCCTCCATCATAAATATATAATCTTAAGTATGCCAGTTCTCCTTCATACAGTGAAGATCAACACAGAATAGAAGAGCATTAGCTAAGCTTCTCTCAAGGTCTAAAATTAAGCATTGTCAAGTATGAGAGTCCACAAAAAAAGTACTATAGGCCAAGTGTGGCTCATTGCTTTCATTTATAAATAAAAATTTATTAGAGCACAGCTATGCATATTGTCTACAGCTGATTTTACACAACAGTGGGATGGCACAAAAGAGACCAATAGCCTCCAAAATAAAATATGCATCATCTGACTTTTATTTTTTTTTAATTGACTTCACAGAGAGAGAGAGAGGAAGGGAAAGAGACAGAGAGATAGGAACATCAATGATGAGAGAGAATCACTGATGAGCTGCCTCTTGCATGCCCTCTACTGGGGATCAAGCCCACAACCTGGGCTTGTGCCCTGATCATGACCTACTGGTTCTTGGGTCAACATTCAACCACTAAGAATCACTGGCTGGGCTGCATTGTCTGACCTTTTATAGAAAAAAATTTTTTTCCCCCAAACTCTGGTCCAGCATAAAAAATATTCCAGGTATCCAAAAGGAAGAATGATTAATGATCACTTATGGTATCAGGTAACATATTCTATACAAAAATAGAACCTAAAGAAGTGATGAACTACATATAGATGAAAAGGGGGTTATGGAAAGAGGGAACAGCTTAAGCAAAATCATGGAGGCCATAATGC